GAACGCTGGTGCAAGTGTTGATACTATTCCTGCAATGAAGATGTTCATGTGAGGGTTGTCATTGCTGCTCTGCCTGTCGTCCTTAACGCGTGCGTGGCTGTAAGTGCCATTTGTCCGAATGGCCAAGTCCGAGTTACTGACTTCGATCGATGACATGCATACTGTGGTACTTCCAACTTGGACCTAGCTCTGAATACGCAATTGTTGTTCTAATTATGATCCAAGGTTGTAAATTCCTGGTGATATTTGTCGAAAAAGAATATTTTGCGCACAGTTGGGAACTTCTGATTTCATGGGGATTATCTAGGAGCAGAGGATAGTTTCGAGTTTCGTAAAAAGTGCACAGTCTTCAAGTGCTTCCCTTCGTTCATCACTGAATTGCCTGCAGCTCATTGTGTTTAAAAAACGTCTTGAAGCTTGTTCTAACCCACATACACTACGAGCTATAGCCTGTGTGTCTCGACAAACGATATGGTTGGCGGCATCAGCTTTCGGATTTGTCCGACACCGTGGTCAGTCACAGGACGCCTGCGCCTACATAGGGAACACGGGTGGCTTGAGCTGCATCACCCACAGCTCCATCCACACACCCCATATCCAGTGTAAAACCGAAGGAATAAGACCGGGAGGCATGCGGATGGGAGCCACGTTTCATCAACGGAGCCGGCCCACACTCCTTCACAGGCAAATACAAGCACACTGTATTTGGGAATCAAGCACACACAAGGCGGTGGCTGGACCGTAGTCCGCTCCACACTGACTACATGGAACAACTCTTCAATCCTAGCACGACCACAAGGAGCGTCCCCTCCAGCAACGATCAACTGTCTCTTGGAGCCAGTATAGACGAGGTAGTGGGTAATAGACAGGTAGTCACCTTGTCAGCATGCACATCAAGTGCAGCCACACACGATATGCTACGACGAAAAGTACACAACCAGAATTAAGCTACGCAACTGAGGTTGACCCTTTCTGTCTTACACCTCTGTGTTAACACTGTGGGGTGTCCACAAAAACGCTATTCCTTTTATCCCTTTGTTTTCTGTTCACCATGTTATGGTTCTCTTTTTGGCCATCCTAAGGAACTTGCTAAGCATCTGCTGTTTTTCCCGTAATATACCATTGTTCCATTGAATAAAAAATGGGTGAAGTCTGGACAACACAACTATTGGACGCCGAATTATACGCATTCGCTATGTGCTACGCACGTACCCTGTAGGGACACGTTTGGCTACTTTCGTTTACTATTTCACACCACCGCATGTTTTGGAATCAGCTGAGCTACTTTACCACTATGCAAACATACGAAGTCAGCCAAGCTTACGACAACGATTGCGAATTCCTTTTAGGGTAGCAACATCCACTGTGCGTGGGAATGTGAGAACGGGTCGCAACTTAGACGAGGATTAGTTATGAGTGTGTATTTTTGCCAAATTCATGCATGGCGGACATTACGTAAGTTCGCTGAGATTGAGCAAATGCCCTGGCATAATATGGCAACAGTATTAAATGTTGACGATAAAGATTTGGTAGGAACCGCTCCCGAATATGTGAGCGTACGTCGTTACTATGAGATGCTTTGTGACTCTCAAATGTGACGCGCTAAGTGTTGTATAGTTTAAGGAATCATATCATGGCAGACACATACAAGCCGAATATGTCAAATTTGGTAAGCCCCAGTGCCGAAATGTGCCTGACTAAGGCTGGGAACATGTGCTCCTGGTTGTTGCTGATTACTGGGTGATGCATGATACTTAATGCAATACGGAATTTAGAGCGCACAAGGTAGGCTACGGCTTTCGCATGAACAACTACACCATATTTGTCGGTCTTTAGTTGGCACCTGTAGGTGCCACATATTAACACATCCATTACGTTTGCAATGGAGTTCTTAATGGCGATTACATCCGCCTTGAAAATACTTCGATGCTGCTGGGATGTGAGGCTTCGGGATGATTTGGGCCCTTTGCGACGAGGGGTGTTGTTTGGTTTGTGGTTTGATGATGTCGTCATGTCTATTACAGTGAATGTCGTGGGTTACTTCGCAATGCTGCAAGAAGTGGGAGTGTTTCTTATTGCCCACGTGCGCCCTGACAGTGAAGATCGCTTGGGCTTATGGGTGGTTGTCCTCTGGAGCATCGGGATTTTGTCTACAACACACCTGCTCCAAGTTGTTTTCCTTGGATGTAGTCTGAGAAAAATTCTCGGGGATTATTATCCATTTGTGAGACGCTGGCTTCGTGATTTCTCCACGAAGCAGGGATCCATTCACAGATTGTCGTAGTAAGTACCTCGTGTCACTTTTGTCAAAGACGACTTGATTTCCAATGACTATGGCTCTCATGGTGAGGTCGTAGATGGTTTAGCTCGGTATTTCCGACCAGTGAATTGGAATCACTGATTGGTGGAAAAATGGTGCTCGGGTAGCTGCATGTTCTTCCGAAGATAACGTCTTTACGTATGTAGACGAGTTTCATCTGTGCGATTCTATGTGAGAGTTTGACACCCTCCGGTAACCTCAAGAATGCCAGACAGCTACGTCGAACTTCCTGTCTAAACCCCCAGTTTTCGCAACCCATTAAGCTGTTTTAGTAAAAGAATGTACCGCACTAGATCTGAAAATGAAATTGAGACAGTTTGTTTCTGAAAGCGTGCGATTTCTGATATCTAGCGATAGTTGATCTTTATGGCGATTCAGGTAGTCTTCTGACACTATCGCTTATCCTGTTTCACTTTACAAAAGTGAGTAGATATATCGTCATGAGGTCATTACACTACAGCTGGAGGTGAGAACCACACTTTAACTATTGTGCCACCATATACATATACAGAATATGTGAAAATTGCTTTACAAATCATTACCCAATACAAAAACGAGTAAGGTGATAATCTACATCGGGAAGGAGATCGTGGTTGGAGGGAGAAGCTAAAGGGGTAGGAGAGGGGAGAAGAAGTTCACAACACGAACACCACAGAAGTCGACTCTTCGCCATGTCACCAAGTGCGTGGACAAATCGTGGCATAGTCGATTTTAGCATCCGAGCTATCCTGGGATATACTTTGTTAGCAGTATTTCGCTTTTGACACGCAAGTTCCGTCAAGCCGAGTGAATCCGTCCAGGATTGGTATAGCACTTATATAACTGGAAGAACTGGAAGATAATCGCGACCAGTGGAATGTAAGGAAGAAGGTGAGTCGCGTTACAGGTCAAGGCATCACTACACCTGGTGAATGGAACAGTCACAAGTGGCCCGCGTTACACGGTCACACACAACAACAAACCCTGTTAACGATGGGTGTGGGGATGGGATGTTGTTCATTCTCTGCCCTGGATCCTTCCGCCGGCGTTCCTCAGAATGGTCGGGTTAACTTGTAGTGCGATTGACCTTCTGCTTACATCCCATACGTCACCATTATCTTCTCAGTTCCCTATAAGTGCTACATGAATCCTGGACTGCTTCACTCGGTCCGACGAAGGTTTTGTGTCAGAAGCGAAGCGTTGCCCACCAATTAAATGAACAATGATTAATAACGGGTAAAAAAGCAGGTGATTGACATGTTCCGTAGGGTGTGTAGAGTTAGAATAGATCAAGGGATAATGGAGTCGTCAGTTCGGGCGATTACAGAGTTAACTGCACTGCCGTATAAAGGGAGTTTGAAATGAGAATGTACGCACACAAAGCAGTAAGGGAAGTGGTTATTGATCACTTAATAGGCGAGAGAAAAAAAATAGCAAGGGGCAACGCTTATTCATGTGCAGCCATCTTGGGTCAACAGGAGGCAGAAATCCAGTCTCTACAGTAGTGGCGTTTATCAAATTTTGTACAATGGGCTTGGAATGACTCGTTCTGTAGTAGGGTTATGGCACTATCCACTGTCTGTTGTGCATTAGTGCTAGCATCTGATGGTCATACGCTATAGCACGTAGTGTAAATGTGACAGAGTATCGTCAATGTGTTTTTTGAAAAGGGATAGGGTGGGTGCATTAATTACATGTTCCGGGAGAGCGCTCCAAGGCTGTGCCACTCGAAGGGAGAAATAGTTTCGCCGACAATCCATGCGGCTGTACTGCGTGACCAACTTAAAATGGTGACCTCTTGGCGGGGTGTTTAAACTGAGTATTAGAAGGGAATGGCATGGGTGGTTGGGGTTTCTCAGAATCTGGTATACCATTATGAGATCGCCCCTTAGACGCCGATAACGTCAACTGTATATTTTGTGGCTCTTCAGCCTGAGTGGGTAGGGAAAGCTGGTCAAACCTCTGACGCTGTTCGTTGCCCTACGTTGTGCAGTATCGAGCGCGGTGAGATGGTGCTTGAGCCAGGGTTGCCATGCTTGAATACCGTATTCCGCGTGCTGACCTCACGTACCCACTAAGCATTTTTGGAAAGATCGAAGGGTCAAACTTCCTGAGGGCTCTACGAAGAAGGCCAAGGTACTGGTTCGCTTTCTTAACGGCCTTTTCAGTCTGCTTCAAACAACCGAGGTTATCTTGAACTATCACACCGAGATCGCACTCGTGAGAAACCCGGTGCAGATTTTGTGGTCCTAGGCGGTACTTGTACATACTCTTGTGCCGTGTGCTGAAAACTGCACTTGGTGACGTTGAAATGCAGCATGTTCTCGATGGCCCATGTGTACGCTTTGTCCAGGTCCTCTTGTAACACTGTGTGATCCTCCACTGCAGCTATAGTGCGCCATACTTTTAGGTCATCAGCAACTAGCAAACAGTTAGAAGATAGCACACTCGCGAGGTCATTTATGAAGAGCAGGAACAGGCGGGGTCCAAGTACCGAGCCTTGAGGTACGCCGCACTGAACTTCGATGGATTCTGATAGGTTGCTTCTAACCCTCACATTCAGGCAACGTTGTACGAGAAAGTCTCCTATCCAGCCCAGAACAGGATCGCCGATTTCATCAACCGGTTGTTTTCAAACCATTCTGAAATCATGAGTTTTCGATGGGTTCCAAGCATTTTTCAAGATGCTGACTATCCTAGATTAGAACCGGCGTACTTCTGACACAGATGGCGAGTGCTGTCCATCCGCCCGCCTTTCATTCGGTGTGCGGTAAATTCTCCCGTAAGCCGCTGCGTTCGCTGCATTCATGCTGACAACCGGTTTGACATCCAACTGTGAATCAATGTGACCTCCTGGCCTGCTTGCTTTTGGACATCGAGCTTCGAGAAGAATATTTTCCTGTAGCGTGTTTGCCTGGTGAGGGGATGCTCCATTCGCGAGGCACTCGTTGTTCGCGTTTGAAGTGTTGAACATCATACCTCGAGCTGGGAAAAAGTCGGTAGCTCCCACTGCTACGGCTGCCAATCAGTCGATCGGATTAAAACCTGCGTACTTCTAACGCAAGTGATGTGAATTCTCCATGCTAGGGATGTCCAAAGTCCGGCCCGAGGGCGAAGTGCGGCCCGCATTAACATTCCAAAAATAAATAAGGTTTGGACTTTTTTGTACACATGTAATTTTCTATTATCTTGATGTCAGAATGAATATGGCCTGACATATTTTTACCTCACAATATGTGGCCCTGCAAAAGGTTTGGACATCCCTGCTCTATGCTGTTCGACACCCCTTCCCCCCAATCATAGTGAGATAAACTCCCAAACACCTGATGCGCTCGCCGGCTTGAAGTCGCTGCGAGTTCTGTGGTCAGACTCGCCAGTGGTTTAGCTTCCGAGTCAAAGGGACTGCTCCCTGACTGGTGTACATCGGTCGATATCATTGTCTGTCCGTTACCATATCCGGTTTCTAGTGACCACACATTTCCCTCTTGCACAGCGCCCTGGAGGAAGTTAACACAACAGCAATGGTCTCAGTCATTGTGACCACGAAGCGAACAGACACCGATGGACAGATTGCATCCAAAACTTACTTGACACGCTACTAGAATGAGGTTATGGGACCCGAGGTTATTCCTTGTGGGATCCTCGTCAACTTGGGTGTGTGGCCGCGGGAATTTGGGGTCGCTTTGTCGCCAGAGACCTCTTGCGTAATTTCCCCAATCAGCCATGTTTGATACCACGGCGTTCGTATACGGCACATATGAAAGTCTGAACAGCCACAACACTGGCAGGGATACTATGGTTTTTGTTAAATATGCTTGGTGAAATCTGTACAATTGAGCGCGCTTAAAAACCGGTTCGTTTGTATCAATCATTGCACTTGAAAAAGTGGCGTTTTTGTACCGCAGTCCAATTCTAGTGCAATTTGGATGCGTTTTACAAGCTCTAAAACGTTTGTTTGTATCCTCGGAGGACTTTCGAGGACCGATCGTGGACTTAAAGACCGGTTGGATGGTTTCGATCATTGCAACTAAAACGGCGAACTTCATACACTACTGTCTAATTCTTGTGCACCTAAAATATGTTTTACAAGGCCTAAAACCTAGTGACTAATCATTAAAAATGCTCATTACCTTTGTCAAAACGAGAATCTCAAAGAAGCGATAGGAAGCTTCTGAAACGCTGGCAAAACATCCTGTTTATAACCCATCTGTAAGCACGGTAAAAAGGAAAGGCTCATCGTCTAATATTAAGATAAAGCCGAAATCGCGCGCAAGAGTGAAAGAACAATCCAAAGATAGTTCTCATAATATTACTCTGATACAACATAGCGTAATTAATGCAGTATCACCCTCTAATGCCATTCGAATGATTGCTGTACTTGAACTACACCTGAAGGACTTGAAGGAAAAGTTCGAACCTCTTTACCAAGTTCTAGAGCACTTTAATTTGCTCAGGGATTTTTTTAACACTCCAGATATTCAAAAAACTGAACATCTTCAATCCGTTGGAAATCTTATAAAACATGTCGCATTTGAGGTTCATGAGTGGATAAAAAGCTCCAAACAAGTAGCGTTTAATTTACCAGAGAAATCAACACTTGTGGTTAACCCGTCCGCAGTAGCCAACGATTGCCATATTGATAGACTGCAGTTTGCTTGCGTGAGACTGCGAAAGGAGTCACTGAAGCAGGTCCGTCCAGCAAGTTGCAAACGAGAAACTGGTCGGAAAACTTTTGTGTGGTAGGCGCATAGTATCCCGTAAGAATGGTTACAGCTTGTTGGTACTGAATCCAGATTTAACAGTTCTACAGAGAGAGTGCAAAATGCCTAATACGGATAAACAGCTTGTAACCAATGTGTTCCGCTACCCACTTGGTTGACCTAGATGACACATTAGTCACCCGTGCCATCACCTGTTGAAGCTGATTCACAACAGCCAACTGAGAGGTCATAAACCCACATTGGTAGAACAATACAGTCGGTTTGAGTGTCGCAGAAACTTCTTCTTGCTGCTTGTTTGTCACATGTGGAACACCCTGTCAGAAGCCGTTGTTTCAGCCCCATGTTAGCCGTGTACAAAGCACAGGCTGACAGTGCACTGGCCATACTATACCCTCTCACGTAATCCAAACGATCCAAACAAACAGCAGAAAAAGAAAAACAAGCCAACTCACCTCCATTTTACCCGGAAACCATAGACGATAACCTTGGGTAGTATATATAACGGACGGGAACGCCGTAATCGGCAGGTTCGCTATATCACACAACTTGTAAATCATGACGGTCCAAAGCTGATCCCGTGGCCCAGTGGCATAAGCTGCTGACTGGCGGTGCAAGTCGCTGGTGGTCATGGATTCGAATCCTGTTGGATCCGATGGATGCGCACTATTGATCATGTCCAACAGGCTGAAAATGCAATCTACTACTTTTCCAGGCATGTGGACGACTATCTGATTTGGAAGCTGGCTGTGATGAACCTCAATTAACACAATCAAAAGCCCCTACTCATGGTTACATCAAAACATTGGATACTTCACTCGAATGTCGGCCAGTCCGAGTCCAGTAATTGAATCCGTCACGTCCGCCTTCCATTGGCCGTCTGGCTCACTCGGTTGGTCGATCTGCTTACTCTGATCTGATGCTACCATCACATCCTCCATTTTTCGTGTTCTTGCGCCTCCATGTTGCTATCTAACTCGCGTCATCTTCGCTGTATCTGCGGCCGTGGTCTCATTGCCCCAGGCCATCTGGCACTCCACTCTCACTCTACATTGTTGTCTCCGTTGTCGTCCTAAATTTGCTCGAGTTCTTCTGAACGTTTTCTCTCCATGGTTTTTTTCGTACGATCTGGCACCGACCCTCGCAGTCACCACACCTTTCTTCCACCGCTCTTGACTATCGGGTAATGGTTGGACACACAGTTCCTCCCCCACTGTTGGCTCAGGTAGTACTTGTGCACCGCGGTCATAGTACCGTTTCCGAGTGGTCATTCATCGTCTCAGATTGTTCTGTAACTGTACGTGCTGTGGCGAAATTTGGCTCAAAAGTGTGGCAGGTGCCGGTATAAGAGTTCTGGTCCTTCGGCTGCATAAGCGCTACACTAGGCGCAAACCGATATTCGTTGCAGGAGTGTTGCGATTCTCCAGTAGCATGCGGTACGGGTCCTTGCCAGTTGCTCTAGCCTTTGATAACTGTCGCTAGGCCTGCTTCACTGCCGACTCCGCCTTTCCATTCGTTTAACTGTGATATGAGCTGGTTTCCTGGTGCAGGAAATTCCACTTGGTTGCGAACGCCTGAAACGCACTGCTGGTAAACTGTGCCCATTGTCAGTATACCGTGCGGCGCCAGCTGACATCTGAGCTTGTTAATTACTGCCTCTGTGGTCGTAGTGGTGAGTAGATCGATTTGAAAATAATCACCATAGTAATCCACCGTGAGTAAGTACTCTGCCCCGTCATCACTGAATATGTCCACCTCCACCTTCTTTCACCGTCGAGCAAAAACATCACGCAGCATCATTTGTTCCCTCGTCTGCCAGATTTCGTGCCAACGACACGCCTTACGATTCGAAACAAGGTCATTTATTTGACCCGTCATTTCTGGCCAAAAGATCAATTCTCTTGCTCTGTTAATGGTATAGTTGGCACCAAGCTGAGCGCGATGAATGTATTTCAACATTTTTCCTCGGAGCAAAAACGGAATCAAAATACGGCCTCCCTTGAACAGCAAACCAGCATAGACAGAGTCCATCCCGAAAATTGAAGTAAGGTGTTAGTTCCTCCGGTAGCTGCTTCCTATTTAGAATAACATTTCGCAAAGTTGTAAATGTTACATCTTCCTCTGTGTGGCGCCTCATTTCCTTTAGGCAACATTTTTTCACTGCCAGATGTTGTACTAAGTTTACTGCTTCGACCTCTTCCTGATTATGCTCGGGTACCGGCAGATGAGCTCTTGACAGCGTATCCGCAACGAACATCTGCGCACCAGGAGTATACACAATACCCACGTCGTACTTTTGAAGCCGGATAAGCATGCGCTGAAGCGGACCAGGAACGACGTGCAGCAGTTTCCTGGCTATTGACACAATTGGTTTGTGGTCGGTATATCACATTGTCTTTCTTCCGAAAGGATAATCGTTGAAACGCTCCATGGCACGAACTACCGAAAGCATGTCCTTCTCAATCTGCGCATAGCGCTGCTCGGTCACAGTGAGTGCCCGACTGCAGAAATCTAAAGGTTTTCCATTCTGTAAGAGAACAGCACCTATTCCGTCTTGGCTACTGCCACACTGTACCTCCAAATCCTGCGCTGGATTTTAATACCCGCGTACAGACGCGTTACTGATGAGGTGTTTAATAGCTTCGAATGTGGTTTCCCGTTCTTCTCCGTAACTCCACTTCACGCCTTTGTGAGTTAACTTCCTGTTCGGCTTTATGATACCAGCGAGTGTTGGCATAAAACGGCTCAAGTAATTCACCATACCGTTTAAGCGACGGGTTCCCTTCACGTCCATAGGAAGCAGCATTTCTCGAATTGCCTTAATCATTCCTGAATCGACCCTGACACGTTGTTAGCAAATACCCATGGTAAAGCACCTCGTCTTTCCGAAATTCGGTTTTTTCACCTTTAAGCCTTATGTTCTTTTGCACACAACGCTGTAAGAAACGGTGGAAATTAGCGGCATACTCTTCTTCTGTGGAGCCATATATCAAAAGATCGTCTGTCACGCATGCTACCCCCTCTAAATCGTTTACCACTCGCAAAAATCGCTTATGCAAAATTTCACTCGACACCTTCAAACCAAAAGGTAAACGCAACGAACGATAACGCCCGAACGGTGTTGTAAAGATAGTAAGAAAACCGAATTCATCATCTAGAACTACATGCCAGAATGCCCAAGAGAGGTCTACCTTCTTGAAACAGTTAGCTTTGACCAGATGGGGCAAAATGTTTTCTAGGGTAGGTAGCGCGTAAT